GATTCTGTCTTCCATCTCTTGTATTCTGTTGGTTATGCTTGTGTCTGTAGTTCCTGATCGTTTGCCCAGTTTTTCTATTTCCAGCATTCCTTCAGTTTGTGTTTTCTTTATCTCTATTTCTGTTTTCAATCTTGAACTGTTTCCTTCACCTATTTAATTGTTTCTTCTTGGCTTTCTGTACTTTCTTTTAGACATTTGTTCATTTCTTCCAATTTTTTTGTTTGTTTTTTGTTTCATTTCTTTAAGGGATTTTCTCACATCGTCTTTGAGGGCCTCTATCATTTTTATGACAATAATTTTTAAGTCATTCTCTTCTGCTTCATCTGCTTTGTGGTTGTGTTCCGATCTAGTTGGTGTTCCTAGATTCTGGTGGTGTTATGCTTGTCTTTCTTTTGTTAGGTGTTTTCTTGTATTGCCGTCTTCCCATTGCTTCTTCCAGTAGATTCAGGTGGGGTCTCTCTGTCTCTCTCTTTATGATACTCCCCAGGTGGGCTTAGGTGGGTCAAAGGTTCGATATTTGTAGCTCTGGGTGGTCCAAGCTCTCTAGGAGGTCTCTCCTCAGACAGGGGCCCGGAGATGGGGCTCAAAGATCAGGCTCCAGCAGAAGACCAGTGATGGGGGTCAAAGATTCTGAAGGCTGGGACTCAGGATGTTCTGTGTGCTGATAGGCAGATCTAGCTGGGACCTGGCACTCTCCAGCTGAGGCCTCTTTAGCAGAGGCCTGGTGGTAGGTGTTAAGGATGCAGCTCACAGGAACTCAGAGTGGCCCTGCAGGGATAGGCGGATCTCTGGGAGGGGCCTGGAATTCCAGTAGAGGACTGGTGGTGGGGATCCGAGACCAGGCAGGTGGGGAGTATGGGTGGTCCTGTGTGGATAGGCAGGTCTAGTGTGATCAGAGTAGCTCCAGGAATTTCCCCGAAGGTGGCACGATTGTTGGCTCCACTGTTTGTCCAAGTGCTCAACCAGAGCCGTGGGACAGTGGGCAGGGTAGGGCACAGGGTAAGGGGAGGGCAGGCTCTTGGTGGGGGTAGTTGGCTGTGTATCAGAGCCCCAAGAGTGCTCATGATGGGGACAGGACACAGGGGGAGCAAGATCTGGGGCCAATCCAGGGAGTTCCCAGGGAAGGGTGTGTGTGTGTGTATGGAGAGGGAGGATTCCACAAATTGGTCCCAGGCTCACCTCTAGCCCAGGCCTGGCAATGGGGGTCAAACAACAATAACCCTCTCTTAACAGCAGTGCTCATTGGGCATCACACAACACTAAGAAGAGTGTCTTACCCCAGATGCATATATGTGAACACACACACATGCACATGACACCCACACACCAGATACACTACACATGCACTCATGAGGACACACATGCACACACACACAACCTCACACATGCAAGTGCACACACACACTTTGAAACAGATTCTTGATCTCAACTTTAAAATCCTCCTTCTTCAGTTTTCTGAGTTCTGGGACTACAGGTATGCACCATCTCTGCACAGCTGTGTTCCTGAGTTGAATTTTCCTCACCTTACAATTAATGTTAGTGCCACAGAATATCTTAGTGAAGCAGAGAAGTTAATTCTTGGTATGAAGAGGGTAGAGAAGGAAATGAGCAGGAACTAAGGAGGGGTAGGCAGGGGTTGACATGCAGGCGGTAGAGGTGAGTGGGGGGAATGCTTGTTTATAGGGTTGATTGGTGTTGAGGCAGGGAGCTCTGAGCATGGAGGTTATAGGAGATGGTAAACCATAGATAAGTTGGGATGGATGAAAAAATTCCAGTAGTGATATTCAGGCTGTTCAGGAATAGTAAGTGTCATGTATGTAGAGGTTTATCCCTTTCAAATTCTGATGGGAGGCAGGGCTCGGCTCCTCTTCATCCACTAGAAAATGTTTGATAGTTTTTGGAGTGGCAGATGACTGACAAAAAGCCACTCTAAGGATCTCAGAAAGATAGTTTGTCCACTAGCTCACCCACTTTCTTTAGAAACCATCTCTCCACTGGATCTGGAGCTTTGTAGCCAGAGACAGTGAGTCCATTGAGTTCATATGGTAGCTGGGAGGATGATCAATGAACAAATAGGTGTGCAGTGCAATGGCCCATTGTGGGAGTTCTATAAAGAAAAGTAAAGCAAATAAATGTGGAGTGATACTATCAGACAGCATGAGGGAGACCATCTCTGAGGGAATGACGTTTGAGGAGGGACCTCCTTTGAGAGGTAACTAGGCTCAGGCCTAGTGTTTTCATCTGGGGCCTGACTCCTAGGCAAGTCTTGGGCTGTAGATATGTCCATGCTGTGGTGAAAGACATGCTAAATGACTTGGGCTCTAATTCACTGTATTGGGCAACTAGCTTACTTCTCTGAAACTTTTTGTTTTAAAATGAGGATCTCATATGAGGTGGTCTATGTCTTTCTAGAAAATATGTTTTACTATGCAGTATCTCACTTAATTACATGGATTAATTTTTTTTATTCTTTTTTCTTTTATCATTGAAGGAGGTGGGGCATGGGAGAATGTGTTTGTAGGCACACATATGGAGGACATGGGGCAATGTCTGGGTGTTTGTTCTCTCTTTCTATAATATGGATCCTGGGCATTGAATGCATACCATTATGTTTGGTGCCAGGTATCTTTACCTATGAATCATTTCATTAGGCCTTTCTCCATTTTTCTTTTTTCTTTCCCCCCTCTTTTTCTTTCCCCCTCTCCCCCCCTCTCTCTCTGAGATAGGCTGGCCTGGAACTCAGAGATCTGCCTGCCTCTACCTCTCAAGTGCTGGGATTAAAGGTATGTGCCTGCCACACCTAGCCTAGAAATCCAGAAACATGGGTGTTCTAGGCTGGAGTTGAACTCCTTGGCCCTCCTACCTCTACTTCGTTGGTGTATCCTACTGGCACATACCATTGCAACTGTACCATTGCAATTATAATTCTTAATAATAATTATTTTCATTGCTGTAAGTCAACAAAGAGTGGGTTTCATCATGGCATTTCTTTCCATCCTCCCTCCCTTTTGGCTTTTTTGAGATATCCTCATTTAGCCTGGGCTGACTTTGAATTTGCTATACAGTGGATGGTGGTTGGCCATAAACTCATCCTCTTGCCTTTGTCTCCTATATGCTGGGATGGTACACATGTGCCACCATGCCAAGCTGACATTTTCATATACCTGTGCCATTATACTTTATTATATATTTCCCCCATCCCCTACTACCCTCTCTAAGAGGTAAATTGCCAACAACCAACCCAGCTGTGCTAGCACAGAACATAACCTGGTCTAGTGTACTCAGGGTTACACTGAGTCAGTCACCCAGTGTTTGACTTTGTATCCTACTGATTTTCTTGAGTATTGTATCCTGTTAGGTTCCAGGTAGGGGCCCCAAGTCCTAGTTTCTAGTGTCTATTTTGTGGTTGACCATCTCTGGGACTCAAATTTGCCCATGCATGTGTGTCTATGTGTCTCTGGGGGCAGCAATAGCTGGCTGGGAGTGCAGCCTTTGAAGAATCGGTAGGTTTAGCTTTAGTTTCACCTTATTTGTGTTTAACATGGTAGCCATGGCCAAGGGCAAAGACAACATTTCAAAGGGGAGCACGGAAATGCTGGGGCTGTGGGAGCCAGATGTGCAAGGATCCTAGAGAGAAAGACACTTCCCTTACCCTTTTCCCCGCCCCCCCCCCCCACAAACAGTTCTGGAAATTAGTGTCCTCAGAGCAGTGCTAATGAGGTTAACCCAGGTTCCACCTTTGCTGTGTGTGAAGGATGGATAACATGCAGAGACTCTGACACTCTACGGACCTGACAGAGACCAGGACACATGTTGGCAAGTTGAGGCTGAAGTGGTACATGACCCACTCTCAGAGTTTGGATATAAAGCATCCCAGCATGCTCATGCATTTGAACACTTAGTTCCTAGCTGGAGGTGCTGTTTAGGGAGGATGTGGGACCTGGTTGGAGGAAGTGGGTCCCAGGGAGCAGGCCTTGAAGCCTATAGCCCAGCTCCACTTCCTGTCTGCTTTCTGATCTGAAACTGCAAGGAAGCTGCTCCCACTCCTGCCCCACAGCTGTCCTTGCCATTGTGCCATGGCAGCCTGTGCCCTCAATCTTGGAGCCGCAGGACTTGTCTTCCCTTCAGTACCAATCTCCATGTCTCTTGCCAGCTAAAATCTCCTGATTTGATTTGATCTGGACTGTCTTGTTTGTTTGGGCTTTTATTGATATATAGTATCTTACTTATTCTTCAAATACAGCAATAAGGTAGGGATTTACCAGCAGCCACTAAACAGATGAATTGATTTGTATTTTCTCATGTATGCTATGAAGTGAGTGAATCCAAGTGTTGTCTGGACTCTAGCTTTCTTCTGCCGGCCACACTCATTGGGAAGCCCTTCTTTTCAGCTCTCTCCTAGGCTTCTGGAAAACCAGGATGCTCAAGAGTGGTTCCTGCTCCTGAAAGATCCTTGACTAAAGGCTGTCTGCGGTCTTCATCTCTTGCTGGGACAGCTGTAGAGTATACCTTCTAATCCCTGCAAGATTAGGTTAAAGTGGCTTTCTCTATGGACACAGTTTTGATTCTTTGTCCCTTCCCTGCTTCCCTAACTCCATTGATTTTCTGGGGAATACAGGCATGAACTAAACTGGAGTAGGAAATGTCCTACATCCATGGTGTGTGTATCTAAGAGAGAGTTCAGAAGCCATATCTAGGAATGACAACTCAATTTAGAGCACAAGTGATCCCAGAAAGACACTGATGTATCACCTTGAAATACATTGACTTCATCCAAGAGTTCTTCATGCCAGGCATTGAATTAGCATCTACAAGGAGAGCTGAAGAACCAAGGGGGAAGACCTCAGGAAATCAGCATGTCAAATGTTCCTGTTCCTATCAGTCCAGGTTCTGATTTGGGATTTCACTGTGTCTGGAGGACAGGTGTCCCTAAAAGGGGATGTGTTTAGGTCTGGAACCCAGAGTCCTGGAAGGATTCACATTACAAGTCTCTCTTCTAGGGCCATGTTCTGCAACGACTTAAAGGAAAAGTATGAGAAGAGGATCGTTATTAAAGGGGTGGATGCTGAGACCATGCACACTCTGCTGAGCTACACATATACAAGCAAAGCTCTGATCACCAAGCACAATGTTCAGCGGGTTCTGGAAGCTGCCAACCTTTTCCAGGTGTGTGAAAAAGCAAGTTCTGTGCTCTTTGAAATGAACAAAACCAGGGAGCCCCCAGAGACCTGGTTAGGCTGGCTTCTGAACCTTTATCTGGAATTTACACACACACACACACACACACACACACACACACACACACACAGAGAGAGAGAGAGAGAGAGAGAGAGAGAGAGAGAGAGAGAGAGAAGCAGAAAGAGACAGAGAGGAGACACACAGAGACATACAGAGAGAAAGAGGCACAGAGAGATATAATCAGAGACAGAGATAAACACAGAAACAGAAAGACACAGAGAGATATACAGAGAAAGACAAAGATACAGAGACAAAGACACAACCCATACACAAACACATACAGAGACAGAGAAGCAAGAGATAGAGACATACACAGAGAAAGAGAGGTACAGAGATATCCAGAGACAGAGGCAGAGATAAACACAGAAACAGACAGAAAGACATACACAGAGGCACACAGAGATACAGAGAAAGATACCACACACACACACACACACACACACACACACACACACACACACACACACAAGGGGGAAGGTGAGCAAGCTTACCTGCAAGTCAGAAGATGCTCATTTGGACACTTGGTGACAGGTGATCCAATGAGGTGTTGCCTGCTTTACCGTACAAAGCTGGGAATGCCTGGTTCTGCACTTGGTATCTGGCTGCAGCACAATGGCTGTCAAGTGTTGCAGCCTAGACAGAGCCAGTGGTGCAGCCAGCGCTTCCTACACACAACATTTGATGTTAGCATAAGTTGGACATGAACTTAAGGCAGCACGGAGGATGACTGAAAGTTCTGTGATTTGAAACTGAGTTTTCTGGTTAAGAAACTACTGCTTGCCACCACACCATGCAGCTTTCAGGTGACACTGTCTAAATATAGGGGAAGCAGACATCGTGTGACATGCACTTCGTGCTGTGAAAGGAAAGCATTGAGAGGTAAGAAGTGTCACAGAGTAGAAAGGACTTCAGAATTATGCTTTAAAGAAGTAATTAGTTTCTATTCTATAATGTTTGCTTCCTGTGAGTGTAGTAATTATACTAGCTTCATAAAATAATTAGACTATGGATAATATTAGTTGCATCAATAATTGTAACAAGGGTCCTATCTAAGTTATCATCTTTGTGTAGGTCTGGAATCATACTATTGAACTTGATTCCATTGTATTAATGTTGTTTCATTGTTTATATGTGTAAAAAAACAGAGTGCAGGGGTAGGCCAGGTCACTTCCAGGGACCAGGGATAAATATAAAATCTTGTGTATGGTTTAGTTCTTATAGAGGTACTATCTGCTTGTGTCATAATTAGCTTGGTGGTTGAAGGGAACAGAACCCAAAGTCTGAGAATGTAAGCATCTCTGAAGGATTCAGGGTACAAGATTTTTGGCAGTGGGATTAGGTCTGTTGAAGCTAGAGTCAGGGAGGGATTTATAAGGTCTGACAAAAGACAGGACTGATAGGTGATGTCCTTCTGTATGCCGTGAATACTTTTTTTAATTGGCTGATGAATAAAGCTGTTTCAACCAATGGAAAAGCAGGAGGTAGCCAGGCAGGAAGCATAAATGGGGCTACCAGACTAGGAGGAGGCTGGGAAAAGGAAGGCAGAGAGGGACAAGAGACACCATGTAGCTACCCTGAAGGTAGGCTAACTGGGCATTCTCCTGTAAGCCAAAAACCACATGGCAACATACAGATGAATAGAAATTAATTAATAATTAAGAGAAGAAGCCTGAGCCATTAGCCAAACTGTTTATAATTAATATAAGCCTCTGTGTATATATTTGGGAAGGAATGGCTGCAGGGACTGGGCAGAACAGAAATTTCCATCTACACAGGATCATGGGAAGGAAATAGAAAATCCACTACAAAGCAGCACTGATGAATTCTGAGTAACAGGTTGCCACCAGTTTAGTTAATTTCATTGGCTCAGTTCCCCAGGGCATCCTGAAGATTCCAGGCCAATTATTTCCAGCTGGGCTGATTTTCTGGCAATGTCCCCTAGTCAGTTAATACTGCCCTGACCATCTCTCTCTGCTAACCGTCAGCCCCTTTGATTGACAGGACACCATCCTTCCTTATAGAGAGAAAGAACTCACCAACTTCATATTCAGTGTTTGTAGTTCATCCCCTTCAGTGTCAAGAGGGCTTCTGAACTTATGGGCCTATAACCTTTAGCAGAGTGACCCTTGGTCAGGCAAGCTTTAGCAGTCCTTGTTATTTTCATGCTAATTTCCTTTAATGGGATGAAGGCAGGGTTGCTGACTTGTCTAAAGGTGGGAAAAGTGGCAACAGTAATAGCTATGGCGTTTATTGTTACAAACAATATCTGGTACCAAAGTAGAAGCTCAATGAAAACAAATTTCATTGTTTGGGGTGACAAAGTTTGGAGTGGTCATCAAGGCTTCTAAGCAGGTCTCACAGAGTAAAAAAGATCTACTTTTCTTTCTAAATGTAGTTTTTAGTATTTTTATTATTAGCATGTGTGTATTATCTGAGTGTGTGTGCCGTGTGTCCATGCCCACAGTAACCAGAAGAGGGTGTCAGATACCCTGTGCCTAGAGTAACTCCAGTTGTGAGCTGACTGATGAGGGTGCTGGAAACCACCTTGGGTCATCCTGCTGAGCCAGTTTTCTTTCTAGTTCTTCCTAGCCCCCTAGACTCAGTTCTGCTGTGTGCTGGGGGAGCTGCAGTGACCTTCAGATCTTCAGAGCTAGGGTTCATGAAGTGTTTGGATGAGCCTGTATCAGAGCAGGACATCCTGCAGCTTGTAACTTCACTATCTGGGGTGAATAAGGAGCACTGTGTATGTTCCAGCTGTCAGCAGAGCACACCCTTTACTTCCTTGGCCAGCAAGTGTGCCCAGAAGCACACCATTTTCCTTATTTTATTCGTCTCTTTGTATCCTAACTTAGGTGTTTCTTTTCTTCTTTGAACATACTTATAATCACTCTTTTGAGTTCTCTGTCTGGGATTTCATTTAATTCAGCCACACTGATGCCATTCTGTCGAATTAGTAATTTTAGGAGGAATTACGTTACATTGACTTTTCATGTGTTACTTCATTAGGCTGTGTGTACCTGGTGATGAGTTTTTGCTTGGTTTGTTGTTGTTTTTTTTTTTTTCAGCTATATTCTTTTTGTTGAAGTATCTGTAATGTTCCTATGAGACTCAGGTGTGGTAGAGTTGAGTGTTTGGAAAACAGTTCCACAGTCAAGCATCTCAGAAGGCCTGGTGTCAACTATGTATTTCTCTCAGAGTAGGAGTAGGATATTAATTGTGAGAACAACCGCACTGTGAGAACAACACACACTCACACACACACACACACACACACACACACACACACACACAAAATGGAAAGCTTTTTTTTTAATGAGTGAAAACTCTGAATAGGTCCTCCTCAAAAAAAGACCTGCAAATGGCTTCTTAAAGGCAGACATTTCTTATGGGAATGGGAACGATGGCCATGTCTCTTTGGTGGTATTTTAGGAGTTCCTGTGTGGTCATGTCTCTTTGGTGGTATTTTAGGAGTTCCTGTCAAAGAGTCAGGTGTTTACGGTAGCCTTTAATTCACATATCCCTCTAAACAGGAAACTAGCTACCTGTTGCCATTATTTGTTATCTTGGTTTGGTTCTAGAAACCAAGTTTGTGGAACAGCATGCTGAAAATTTTTATTCAGAGGCAAATATATAAAAAGCAATTTCTTGTTCTCACAATTGCCTTTATGCCAGCAAATTCCAAGCTGCTGGTTGGATCACTCTGAAATGCTTGTTGACACATATTTTAGGAGAACTTAGGCAGTCAGAGAAACCTACCTACCCTTGTGGTCATAAGAGCTCTTGAGATTCTCCTGGCTTTTGGTTAGCTCAACAGTGCAAGCTTGCCGCTGTAGTTAGCAAGCAGGCATCTAAAAGGCCATCTTGCCACCTGCTATGTGACTTCAGGAGCTATTATTTTACTCTGACTTTTCTATTTCATATTTCTTCCTCTCTATAAATGTAGTCTGAATACCCTCTTTTTACTAATCAAATAAAGGACATTTATTAAAAATAGTTTGCTAAGTAAAGTGGCAGATGAAGAAGCACGTGGGTCTTAGTGTACTCCAGATGCCTAACAAATGTTTGCTGCCTCTATCTGGCCTTCCCAACTTTTCTGCTGTCAGACTTTTGTCGTAGATATTGCTGAAATAAAAACAAAATCATGACCTAGATCATTCTGAGTTGCTAAACGTGGTTGGGCAAAGCTATTACAGGCACCTCTACAATGAGGCTATTCTTAGAAGGCATGGAACTGACCCATATCAGAGAGTTAGAGAAGCCACTGGGAAGAGCCAGCCTGTAAGAAAGAGGTTCATGGAGAGGGGTTTCTCTACTTTTCCTATTCTGCTTTTTATTTATACAGTTATTTACCCAGAACTAAAATGCCCAGGGTGAAGCACATCCTTCATTATATTGCCATGACAAAGAATAGCTCATAGAATTTCCCAGAGCTGGGTGTGGTGGCACAAGCCTGTAATCTTGGTATTTGGAAAGCTGAGGCAGGAGGATTAAGAGTTTAAGGCCACTTTGGGCTACTAAAATATAAATCAAAAACTCAAAAAAGATACAAAAGTCAAGAAAACAGTTTGGTTTAGGATTCTCAGCTCAACCATTTTCACAGTTCCTCAAGCAAGGGGCAGAGCTATTGGCAGTGGAACCCACAGACAGAGCAGAAGGATGCAACGCCAACTCAGTCTTTTTCAGCCTTGTGTTAGCTCTCAAAGAAACATTTTTTATATAATCATTTGGAAGATATAGTCTGATAAGGAAAAATCATGTTTTGTGATTGGAAATAACCCTGAAAGTGGGGGATACACGCTACAGGGTACATTCCAACAGTTCAAAATAAGTAACAAGACCACTCCTGCCCCACCCCTTTTTATACCCACAGCTCTTGTCCCCCCTTGTCACCAGAACCTGTCCTTGGCATACCACACTCCCCTTGTCAGGCCTGTCACCATATCTCTTACCATTGCTTGCCTTCAGAGGGGCTTTCTCATCTGGCTCTTCCCTGTGACCTCCTCCTTCCTTCCCCTTAAATGATCAACTAAAGCTTACTGAGCCTGTGACCTAGTGAACTCAGGGGACAAAGAGAGATCTAGGAGAGCAGACTTGTTCAGAGCAGAGCCCTGGAGAACAAGAGTGGACTGACAATGCATGTGAGATGTGGTCTGTGAAATGAGCACTGAACACAATGGCTATGACAGTGCTTTGTGACTTGTAAACACATTAAGCCAGTGTCCAAACATTAAGCCCATATCCTCTTGAGGAAGATGACAGAGTTAAAATGAAATATGGAGCCAACCAATACTTTTTACAAACTAACTTTTTTTTTCAATTACAAAAGTGATAGTATTTCATTGGGGGAGGGATAAATAACACATTACCGAAGACAGAAAACTTCCCATAGCTAGATTAGTATGATGTCTTAAATTGCAGTATTTTATAAGCTGTATTCCCTTGTAGAATCAGTTTCTATGGAGATTTATTGTCCTTTGGTGGCAGAGTTTGCATCATGACTTACTTTTGTCAGCTGAGTATGAATGACAGCTTCATGGGCTACCTCCCACACTTTAAGAGGCTTTGTGTGGTCCTGACATGTTTTGGGCCAGTAGATTTCAGTCAGGGTTTTCCTACTACTCTGGGTCCTGGCTCTTGGGATTTGGGTGCTGTGGATTATGTTAGCTTTATTTACCACAATATATGTGGTACACAAGATTTAAACATAATATTTCAATCCATAATCTTTGAGTCCTTTTGTATGCTTATATAATAGTTTTCTTTGCTCACAGTAGACTACTTTTCTCATTTCAGTTTGAAAGTATTGCAGGCATATCTTTAAAAGGCAAATTTTTTTTAAAGAGAGAAAGAGAGTGTGTGTGTAAGAGATGGAGAGAGGAAGGGACAGGAAGGGAGGGAGGGAGAAAGGCGTGAGGTACACGTTCTTGTGTGTGGGTGCAGGTACATGCATGCTGTAACCTGAGTGTGGAGTAGGAGGACAACATTTAGGTCCTCACATCTCACCTTGTTTGAGACACGGTGTATTCACTGATTCATAAACCAGACAGGCTGGCTGCGTGTTACAAGCCATCTTCCTGTCTTAGTGTTCTCATAAGGAGTGCTGGGGTAGCAGATGCTTACACCACTGCACCTGGCTTTTTATGTGGGTTCTGGAGATCAGAACTTGGGTCATCAAGCTTGACTAACAAGCACTTTTTTTCTGCTGAGCCGTCACCCTAGCTCAAAAGATAAAGATTCTTATTAAAAATAACTATAAGACCATTATTGCCCCTAAAATTAATAATAATAATTTTTCATGTTTCCAGATATTTGTGCTTGTTAGCATTTCTCTGACTTAATTCGTTGCTTGTCTCAAGCAACTCAATATTGTTCATACTTTGTAGTAAGCTCATATCTCTTAAATCTTTAATATTTTTATTCTTTGATTTTATTTTTGGTCTTTCAAGACAGGGTTTCTCTGTGTAGCTTTAAAGCCTGTCCTAGAACTTGCTCTGTAGACCAGACTAGCCTCAAACTCACAGAGATCCACCTGCCTCTGCCTCCCAAGTGCTGGGATTAAAGGCATGTGCCACTGCCTGACTTATTCTTTGATAATTTACACATATAATGTTTCTTGGTCATATTTATATCCCATTTTCCCTCTAACTCCTTCAGAATCCATCCTAACCCTTCATCCCTCCCCCAAACTTCATGATCCCTCCTTTTAAAAATGTCCAACTAAATCCAATTTGTGCTGCCCATAGACTTATGGATATAGGCAGAGCTCTTGTTTTATTCCCCCCCAATCTCTCCCTTTTTGTACTTGTAGCATATTTACAGAAGAAATTAAATCAGTTGCTCCATGGAGTTTCCCACCATCTAGATGTGGCTGAATGTGTATTTATGGTGTCATGTTTACTTCTATATTTTTTTCAGTAAACTGATGATTGGATCTAGAGGTTTAAAATTAGGAAAAATAGCTTGATGGCAGGGCATTTATTTAGCACATGCAATGCTGTGTATTCTACCCCCAGCACTACAAAATAAACACAAATAAATCTTCCACCCCCAGCACTAACAAAAAAATTAAAAATAAATCTAGACATTTGATCAGATTTAATGAATGCAATGTATCACATTTCCACATAACTTAATGTAATCTTATAAGATGTTTTTAAATTATTCATCAAGTTGTTGGCTATATCAATGTACTGTTGGACATTTAAGCTGTTTGTAAGTTTTTGCTGGCACACAAAGCTCACTATCAATAGTTTTGTGGGCTAATCACTTACTGATCTGACTCTCTACCCTTCTGTTAGTTTCTGCAGCTGGTGGATGCCTGTGCCACCTTCCTCACAGAAGCCTTGAACCCAGAAAATTGTATTGGAATACTGAGACTGGCAGATACACACTCCTTGGAAGGTTTAAAGATGCAAGTTCAAAGTTACATCATTCAAAACTTCGTTCAGATTCTGAACTCTGAGGAGTTCCTGGAACTCCCGGTGGATACCTTGTATCACATCTTGAAGAGTGATGACCTTTGTGTGACTGAGGAGGCTCAAGTGTTTGAGACAGTGATGAACTGGGTCCGGCACAAACAGTCAGAGAGACTCTGCCTACTTCCTTGTGTTTTGGAGAATGTGCGCTTACCACTTCTGGACCCGTGGTACTTTGTGGAGATGGTTGAAGCAGACCCTCTCATTAGACAGTGTCCCGAGGTCTTCCCACTGCTTCAGGAAGCCCGGATGTACCACCTTTCTGGCAATGAGGTAGGTTGGATTTCATCAGCAAAATAAGGAGTTAGCCAGGGTTCTCAGTAGTGCAAGTGACCCTTGCTCACAAATCCTCAGGCCAACAAGTAGAGGAGACAATTCATTTTAGAAGCTGGGTGTTCCTGATCTGTATAATGGGAATGCTACTACATTTTCACACAGCTGTTGGGAGGATTAGGTGAGAAATGGAAACCTTCTGGCACTGTGCCTGTCACATGTCTCCTCTGCCCAGTTGCATGTGAACCTATCCAATCACCATTTTGAAAGAGTTCTATTCCTTAAATTTTCCCACTCTTGTGAGAATTTTTTATCTGTTTTTTTTTTTTTTTTTATTCTGACATTGCCCAGATCCCGAGTCTCATCATTATGGAAATTCCTTAGACCTCATTACTGTGTTCATGGTCTAGTCTCCCTCCAATTCATCCCCACTCCTGGGATGACAGAAGACGCAGGTGTAAACTTTGCTGCTAGCCTGACTTTTTCATTGGCTCTCCATCACTTTCAGGAAGACATCCACTCTTTCTCCTAAAGTTCCCTGAGCTCTGCTCCATCAAAATACCTCCTGCCAAGGTCTCTGGCATCATTTAACCCCCATTTCTCCTGCGTGTAATTGCTTTTAAAAATTAAATACAAATTTAACATAAATTTTTTACTTAAAATATAATTACATTACTTTCCATTTCCTCCCTCTAACTCTTCTCCTGTATCTCCCTTATGCTCAAATTCATAGTCTCTGTCTCTTTAATTGTTGATGTATACATTCTGCTGTGGTTTTGACATACTGTATCCAGTTCCTCTAAAGGATTTTTTTCCAGCCTTCAGGACAAGGCAGATGCTGTCTAAATGCTTCCTTCTTTTCCTTCCTCTACCTAACTTCTGCTTTTAGTCCAAAAATTAATTCAAGGTTACCTTCTTCCGAGAATCCTTTGTGTTCTTATGGCCATCGGTTCAATATTTGGTCATGACATCAAATGATTCATGGTAACCATTGCATTCATCATCTTGTAAATATTCTAAATGTGTAACTCATTATAATAGGAACTGGGTACTACTGGGCTTTTCATCTCTAGGCCTTAGAATAAATCCCTGGTGTATTGTGAATGATGATGTTTATGGACAGCACCAAGAAAGCATTTGTGCCTACCTGTTCGCCTTTGCAATTTCTGAAGATTTTTTTTTTTTAACTCAGAATCTTGTAAAGGCAAGGCTGGGATTAGTGGAGGAGCAGGCTCACCAGGAAGCCATAACATAGGGAGAGTTTGCTGTTGATGTGCAGGTATGAAACCTCACATGTGCCTATCATTATGCAAAAGTTCCAAACTTCATAGGCAGGCTACAGTAGAAACAGCCCAGAGTTGTTCAAGAATAATATCTGTCTGCAATTCCTCGGTTCCTTTATGTGTGTGGATCTCTATGCTCCTTGGTTGGTTTTAGAACTGCTTGCTACTTGTCTATTAATCACAGGTATCCTGAGTGTTTGGTGTTATAGGGCTTGGGCAATCCAGGGTTTTCTTTGAGAGAGGAGGTTTTCACTTCAAATCACAATCCGCTAATAGTCACAGTGCTGCCCAGGTTGTCTGTTTCTTTGCAAATGGAGTTGCAGAAAATCTCTACATTCATACAAGTAGCAGGATTTGTTGGCATAAAGCTGTTAGTAATTTCCCCTCTTCATTAGTACTATTTATAGACTATGTAGTGATATGGATCTCTTCTATTTCTAGAAACTGTGGTGACATAGCATCTTGAATAGTGGCTCTTTGTGTCCCCACCCCACATTGCTCTGGTGAGATGTATTATAAATTTTGTTGATTTTTCTCAATAAACTAACTTCTGGTTTTGTTTTATTTTCTCTATTTTTTTCTATATGATTTTCTTTCTACTTTGATCCTGATAGAGTTCTTTTTTCTGTTTACTTTCTGAACTTACCTGCCCCCTCTAGTTTTTTAAAGACAGTTGAGGACATTGCTTTGAGATCTTCCTTTCTCCCATCATTACCCATATGGAGTCACTACATAATGAATTATCCTACAACTTCACAGTTGAAAGCAGCAGAGAGGGATGAGGATCCATGGCATAGTTCTTGTCACGATGCTCTGTGTTTAGTCCTGCACTGCAAAAGGAAAAGAAGAAAATGCAATGGCTTGGTTTAGTTGGCTAGCTCTGACTTAAAGTTTCTTATTAGGTGCTGACCTGTCTATCATCCATTGGCTTAGATTTCAGCAGTCTTAAAGTTCAAATGAGATCAGAACATTCACACGGTGATACTCAAGGAATTGTGAGTAGGCATCAGTTCCTTGCTGATATTGGTTTGATGCTGTGGTTTCTAACCATGTGGGCATCTACATAGCAGATGGCATTCTTCCAGAGCAAATTATCTGAGAGACTAAGAAAGCAACCAGTATGGAAGCTTTAGTACTTTTGGTAGTCTGGTAGAACATTACTTCTGGTTAGAGAGGCTGATTCTGGAACAGTATGGAAGGAACTACAGGGATTTTAGTTCTGGGAGGAAGACATTACTTGAGGCCATTGTGGAGACTGGGTACCATAGTGATTTGTATTATAAAAATTAGTCCATAACAGGGACCTTGGTTACTTGTCTTGCCCATCCATCAATCATTCCATCCATCCATCCCACCCACCCACCCATCCATCCATCCACCCACCCATCCCATCAACTCATAGAAACCCACAAGACCCAGAAACTGTTGGTGCTGAGAATCCATTAGAGAAAAAGGGCTGTCCTCATAGTTAATTACAAGTCTGTCTGTGAAGCATCGCCTGCAGTACTGGAATGGTCAGTGAACAAAGCTGACAAGCTTCTGTTAGAGGTTGTGCCTTGGCTATGGGGAGGGAAAGTTTGGGGACATAAACCAGGCTAATATTGGGAAGAAAGGTGCATAGAAGAGATGTTTGTCTTTGGTGCCAACTCACTGCTTATATCCTACCTACTCACTTAGTTTCTTCAAGTGTCTCCAAGCTCTCTGGCCCACTGCTCCCATCCTTAGTCAATCGACTTTCTATTGTTCATCCTCTCAGGCTCAGTACATTAATGAGGATGTATATTGTCACATGTCTCCTCACTCTTCCTTTGAACTCACAACTAACAGACCTGCTACAAATGTTATGGCCACAGTGCAAACTCAAAAACCAGGGATGCAAAATTTACTGGATCTGGCTCTTTGGCATAGAAAAACAAATAACAAACAAAATTGATGGAAAAGCAGAGGTGGGGTATTAGCTGATGTTTTGTTAACTTTTCTTGGGGAGACACAAACTACCAGATTCACTCTGGACAGGGCACTAATGACAGACCAAAGTAATGATTCCACTGAAGTTCAACTTGATGAGCTGAGTAGTTTATTATCCTTTCTTATAGAGTGTGGGTAAGTGGTGACCCCAAATAGCTGCATCACTGAAAAGTCTTACCTTATTATGGATGATGACATTATGAAAACTACATCATGAGTCTCATTTTCACTTAACCATCAACTTCCTGTTTACTGTAGAATTTCCCAAAATCACTTGCAGCTGGAGGAGAGCAGGAGACAAATAATGGTTGGATTCCCAGATAAAGGCCCCTCTTCTCTACTAGAGAATGTCAATAGTATCAGTGACCATTACCATAGACTCATCACTGTAGTAGTATATAGTGTGCTTGGCCCAGGGCTTGGTGTATAGTAAGTATTAGAACACAGACCCTCTTACTGTTTCTTTCCCCCAAAAGGAGGCCCCTACCCAGCTCTCTCTCTGGGACAAACAAATGATAAGGAAGGAAAGCATGCTATGTATGCTGCAGCCTGGCAGCCCCACCCCCTTGTACCAGCAAGACAAGCTTCTGGTCCTTCCTACTGCCTGTTCTGTGCCACTTGGCAGGTATGATAGGACAGACTTAGTACCTCTGTGATACTTGCCCATTTCCTGGAAACCAATGAGTCAGAAACATCCTTTCCTCTTAGGATTTGAAGCAAAGGCACTTTGTCTCTGTCTACACACACACACACACACACACACACACACACACACACACACACACACACCTACCTCTAAGGCCCTATTATGGCTATCTGTGGTCACAATGCTGTATTTCTCCTAAGGAAGCTCTTCTTTGGACCTGAAATTCTGTCATCCCTTCTAGCCCCGCCTCCGTCCTACCCCCCCCCCCCCAGTTAAGGCCTTCTGAAGGATGACATGTGTCAGCAACTTCCTATGGACCTGCCACCATGTTCTTTCTTTTTTACAATTTCTTTTTTACAATAGGCATTGCATAAATGTTAACTTTGACTTTAATTCCAGAAGTTCAGGTTTCAGAGCAGGTAAAAGAGTAAGGAAGTGCATTTGATGGCAAGCAGACTCTTGTTTTAAAATAGCAACACAAATGATAGGTAACAGTTTATTCAGTACCTATTATACAGCAGGTCCTGGGTCATCACATTTCATGTATTGTATCATTTAATACAACAATCCTACTGGGTAGTTATGATCAAATAGTTATTATACAGGTGATGAAGTCATAGTCACAAGGCCAGCAATGGTGGAGGTGAAAATTGGGACCTACCTTCTGTGGTTCCACAGCCCAAGCTCTGTGAACTGTCATGTTGTGCTCTTTTTGCCTACATACCCTCTCATTGATTTCCAGATTATTTCAGAGCGCACCAAGCCCAGGATGCATGAGTTCCAATCTGAAGTGTTCATGATTATTGGTGGCTGCACAAAAGATGAACGATTTGTGGCAGAGGTAACCTGCCTGGATCCCCTGAGGCGCAGTCGCCTGGAGGTGGCCAAGCTCCCACTGACAGAGCATGAGCTGGAGAGTGAGAATAAGAAGTGGGTGGAGTTTGCCTGTGTGACATTAAAAAATGAGGTCTACATCTCAGGTAAGCAGAAGGCTAGGATTAAAGCATTTCTCCAATAGCATTCTGCATTTTCCTCAGTGAAAACCAACTGCTCAGCAAGAATGTCTGTGTGTTCACAGTGGTCTAGCTCTTTGGGTTAGGATATGGAACCAAGAGCTTAGGTGGTCTTTATCTTGAAGGAAACATTATCAGTTGATAAATACTGTAATGTGAGCAGCACAGACAGTTCCACCCCTCATGGAGGAACAAAAAGAGTGATGTTAGGGTTTGTTTAGTCTGTTACAGGTTCAGGGCACTGATGTGGGTATAGAACTAGGGTAATGAAATGTCTTATCCTCCCACAAATCCGACCTTCCCAAATTTCTTAGAGGTTCCGAGATACATGTCTACTGAAGTGATACAAACACGTATACATTGCTAAGTTGTTGCTTAATCATTAACAATTATGTGTGCTTGCATTCTCTTTAGACTTGAAGTTCCATGAGAGTTAACACTCCTTGTACCTAGCAATGAAAATGCTCAGTAGACATTTTTGAATTACACAGTCTCTGTCATGTTTACTGCTTAGTAGGTGAACCTACATTTTAGGAACATGCAATTGCCAGTCACAGCAAAGGAGGCCAAATTATGAAGTAAGAGAAAACAAGGCTCTGAGTGGCTCTAGAATACAATGCAGGTTATATCCTGATGTTGGACAGGATCACAATCCAGGGACTAAGTTCAGGTCCTTCTCATTCATATCAAAAGGATGATGCAAACATTCCCTTCCTGCTCCTGTGTATTTAGTGTCCTCCAGAGGGTAATATTAGCTGTCCTCCAAGTCTGTTCATAATAAAGATTAGGCTATAAGTTTCTTTTTATTATAGAAATACTGTATGATTTGAATAATACAGAGAATAAAAAGTAAAATATGGCAGTTTTTAGATTCATGACAATTCCCCATGTTTTAATATTTTTTATTAAATATTTTCATATTGTTAAGATACATAGTATTAGCTGTTAAACAAGTCCTGAGTTCCACTTAATGAATGGATGCAGTGTGTGTAGGAATAGTAGGGTCTGGAGCACATCACTCAACGTATTCAGGGACTCATGTTCCTTCTGATTTGTGATTCTGCTATCTCCCATACGTGGCCCGAATGAGAAGAAACATCTATTCCATAAAGCTTAGCCTGCAAAAGTCACAAATAGTCCAGTAGCAGGAACCAAAAGTGTGCCCCTTCTTCCTAGAATAGATGTGGGGTTAGTAATGTAGTTAGTTATGCATCCAGGAAGGAAGAACAGGTTTGGTGATCATAATTGATCTCTTCCAGTGCACATGTATTTTATAGTTTACCAGTGCCCATTTTCTACATCCTTAATAACAATTGTTATCACCAATTATTTCTGACATAATAGACTAGAATATATACATTACACTCTTGGATTTTTAGTGATGTTGAGTATATTTTCATATAATTATCAGCTAATTGTATTTCTTTTAAAATGTCTGCTCATATCCTTTGGCTGTTTTTCTATTGTTTTGTGATTGTCTTTTTCTTATTAATTCTTTGCATCTCTTGTTAAATGTCCTTTGCTTTGTGGTGTAAATACTTTCCCTCTAGATTTTGGTTGTCTTTTAACTTTGATTTATATATTTACAACCACTTTCTTTCCAATGTGATTCTAATTTAATTTTCATGTCATGTTCTCCAAATCACCCAAGTTCATCTCTCTAGTTACTTCTCCAAGTCATAATTGGAAGTTGTTTTAAATGTAAAGTGATGTAGCTATCTAACTTGTCTCCAAGTGGTCATTTAATAATTTCTATATATTTGAAATTATGTAGCAGCCCCTCCACAGTCAAGGAACTGAACAGTGACACTCACCAAACTCAGGGACACAGTTTGTACACTAAGGAGCCAGGTTTGGCCACATTTATACCCAAGAAGCCAGTTAAAACAGTAATTAGTAGTAAAAGCCAATTAAAACAGCCAAATTAATAGTAAAGAACAGAAAGAAGAGATTTATTCAATGATGCCATATTGGAAAGAGAGACAAAAATGATCCAGTGATCCTGCTCAGGTTCATATTTGAGGCCCTCAAATGAAGTTACAGGCTTTTGTTTTGTTTTGCTTTGCTTTGTTTTGTTGAGACAGGGTCTCACTAAGTAGCCCTGGCAGTCTTACAACTCTCTGTGTAGTCCAGGTTGGCCTCAAATTCATAGAGATTCCCCACCTCTGCTTCTGGATTGCTGGGTACCATTGTACCTAGTGAGAGTAATGTGTGATTAGAGGGCCAAGGACATGATCAACTAAGCAAGCAGTCCTAAGGACCACTAAGGTGTGGTCCTGTCTGTCCATCAAGACCCTGCCTTTGGCTGGGCTTCCATCTTACCTGACAAGGTTGTCTCAACAGTTGCTAGAACTGTGAAATCTCTTTGTGGCAGACAACTCCCTCACCCCGGACAGTGCTTTGCTCTCAGCTTGGAGAAATTCTCATTTCTTGGGTCCATGGTTTCATTTTAGTAGTAGAATAGGATTGAGGGACACAAGTGCCTCTTTAGAATGTCTTCATTCCTGCCATGCTGGCTACATCATTGTGCCATTGTTCTTTATTTGGGGTGGGGCGGGGGGCAGTCTTGGAGCCTCTATAAAAATTCACAAGCATGTACCTTTAACCTAGACATCATAATTTTGTGTTTTAAGAAAATTGTTGTAAACATTGTTCATTTCACCCTCAAATGATCAATTGTAAGCATTTCATATTTTCATAATAAAATTAATTAAAAATAGGACAAGGCCTACTGCCTTCTGGGGCCCTTTACTCTCAGGGAGCCCCAGAAGACCCACCAGATATCACCCAGGAAGTCTGCTCTTTCTTTGGTGTTCTTGGTCTTATTAATAAGAGGTTTTAAGAACAGACTCAAGGACAATTAATTACTACAGTTTAAAAGTAAAACCCAGGAAAGCTGTAACTCTCTCACAGCTGCCTGGAAGCAGGGAGAACAAAAGTCTTGCTCCTTTAGATAAGACAGCAAACAGCGGAAGGTCAGCCAGTGCAGGCAGCTCCGAGGGGGTTGGGGTGGGGGTGGGGAAGCTTTGGGAAGAGTGCAGAATCCCAAATCATTTGTTATGGAGTTTAAAACACTAGAAAGTCCTGGCCAGCATCTGACAGAATGGAGAAACTAGAAAGAGTCGGACCTCAGAAAGGCAGCAGAGGCAGCCCCACCTAACTGAGGTTCAGTGCTGGCAGCTGCCTGACTCCCGGAGTGCACTAGGGTGGGAATTCTGGAAAGGAAAAGACCATTGTCCTAAGGTGGACCTGCCTTCCCAGGGAGGATCCCCAGGCCAGATCCCAGGCTGCCCCACCGGATTAACCCTTGAGAGGAGGCAAAGGTTTGTCTCCACCTAGAGGTAAATCTTTATACTACTTTTATACAGATTAAAGATGTAAGGGCAAATTATCTTGTGAGATCTCTTGGTAACTTCTTCCACACTGTTTCTTCTTCAAGGTTTTTTTTTTTTTTTTAAATAAATAAATATATGAATGAATGAATGAATAAATACACTTAGAACCTAAATACCTTCTAATCTAGCTGTCAATGCCCTACCATTCTTGCTCAACCTTATTACCGGCTTCTTGGGGGCACAAACACTGGATTAGACTCTTTGGCTCCCACCCACCCACACTGACCCCACTGAAGTCTTCTCCTTTTACTTGGCCCCGATTCCTGAGCCTTAGAGGTACAGTCCACCATTCTGGCCTTTGTGTCTTCTCACTCTTTTGAGTTTGTTTTGTCACTCCTACCAGACCTTCAGAGTTTCCCTTATCTTCTCTTAGCTGGAACTCTGCTAAGGATTTAGTACTTTTAGAGTTTGGAGACTGCTCAGGGAAAACTGTATTTTGAGACATTTGCTCGATGATTTTAAAACCTTTGTATCTCTTGTAGGTGGCAAAGAAACACAGCATGATGTTTGGAAATATAATTCTTCAATCAACAAATGGATTCAGATTGAATATTTAAACATAGGCCGCTGGAGGCATAAGATGGTCGTATTGGGTGGCAAAGTCTATGTAATTGGGGGTTTTGATGGCTTACAAAGGATCAACAATGTGGAGACTTATGACCCCTTCCACAACTGCTGGTCAGAGGTATGGGAGACTGTTTCCACGAGAAATTTCAAAGCTTAAGCAACAACAAAAGAAAAACCCTGCCCATGGTGGTGGCTAATAATTGATAACTTTGATGGTGCCTATCGTGGTGGCTAGTGATTGATCACTTTGCTTCTATAGACATCTTGGTTCTGAGCTTTTCTCTTCCTATGAGCCATGAGTCAACATTACTGATCCAATTCCAGTAATAACATTTTTCTAGGTGGCAGGGCTCTGTGTGGGCATTGTCTTGTCTTGTGCTAGCCAGAGCCCCAACTATGAAGGGAGGCTGAGGCTACCTTAAGATGGTTAACTCCATTGGTTTCATGTCCTGGCCCACAGTCTGTCTCCTAAGATGCCTTCTGTCCTACAGCTCTTCATGCCAGAAACCAGATGATCCATTTCCTCCACCATTTGTGAACCCAGGGTCATTTGGTTATGATTAGAAGTCAGGCTGAATTTATTTCCTCACTAAGGACGAGCCATTTACAGGCCTTTGTGCAAGTCTCTAACAACGCCATCTCTGGTTAAAAACTGCCCCAGGATAAGAAAACAATATTATTTCCAACATTTCTAGATCATTCTGAAGCACAGATTTTCTTTCTTATTGTCAGAGCATACAGGAAGTTTAAACTGTGGTCACTGTAAGCACAAGGAAAGGTTATCATGTTGCCATGACATCCAGCTAAGACTGATGACCCTGTGGGGGATAGGTCCAAGATGGTCTCTAATCATCAAGTCCCATCACTTAGTCCTCCAAACTAAAGAATTATGCCAATTGACAAGAGGCCCTTGGAAGTCTCTGTTATCATCCTTGGGTTCACAGGTTTCACAAACACAAATCTAGTTTAATTCCCAAATAGGCAGTGCTGCCCTAGAGTGAGAGAATCTGCACATGCGCATAACTTTAAAGCACCTCATAACTGACCACTGAATGACTATGAATATATTGGCTTCACATACATAGATATTTATTCTTGCCTGCATCCCTCCTTTCCTAAGAGCTGGTCTCTGGGATAAACAACCAGGAACAATAGAGACACAGCTTGCTCCGGGCTTCCCAGAGTCTGTAGAGATAGTGGGTTCTGTTTCTGCATTTTATTGGGAGCTGTGGGTTTTGTCATTTCAGTCAGAGCGTGCCCAAGTGTGTGTTCTCCAGCAATCTGAGCAGCACACTGACTTCTTGTGCCCTCTGCCTCTGCAGGCTGCACCCCTCCTTGTCCATGTCAGTTCCTTTGCGGCTGCTAGCCACAAGAAGAAGCTGTACGTCATTGGAGGAGGACCCAATGGGAAGCTGGCTACAGACAAGACTCAGTGTTATGATCCTTCTACCAATAAATGGATTTTTAAGTCACCCATGCCAGTAGAAGCTAAATGCATCAATGCAGTGAGTTTCCAGGATCACATCTATGTTGTTGGTGAGTCAGTGATGACTTCTTACATCTGTAGCCCTGAACCCCATGGTCACCTGGGAGACCAGATGTTATCATTTCGAGAATGCTTGGGTGATGGAGATAAGGCTGAAAAGGAAGAGAAGGTGGTTTTTGTCCAGGCCTTACTGGAATTTCCCTTCATGTCCCAGAGGCAGAAACAGCCACACAAAGCATGGACACTCTTATACAGTGGAGGAAGCCAGAAGTCACTTGGGAGTAAAGTTGTATTGCAAAGGTAGCAAATATACAGAAATTGAAACATTCAGTGTAACAAGTGCTCAACAAATAGGAAAGGTTTGTACATTTTAGTTTGTGATCATGGGAATGTTCCTCTCCTGCTTGGTTTTAGGGACCTGTACTTAGGTGAGAGGAAACCTGGCCACAGTTGACAAGTAATTGTTAGAGTTTTCAGTCCTGACCATTCCTTAGGATTACCAGGAAGTGCTTTATGAAATTACAGTGGCCAGGCCTTCTGCCAGAGTAAGAAGGGTGTCTGTGAATAGGACAACTGGGTTGTTTAAAACTGTAGCTGATTTTAATGGGCAGTCATGATAGAGAACTACTGATTAAAGAGATGCTAGAATACAAATAGCTTTGGGAATTTAATCAGGGCTAATCAGGGAAGGCACTGGGAGATAAAACACGGGCATACATTATGGAAAATGCAGCTCTCCCTTGCTGGATTTCTCTTGGGGTTTTGTTTGTGGTCAGGCTCCCAAAGGTTTCAAAGGTCCAATATCATGAAGGGCAGCCTTTATGTCTTCAATCATACTTAATCTCCAAAGAGATGCTGTTCCTAGCTAATGTCAGGTTGATGACTTTTATGAACTGTCCCTGTGCACAGTCCTTTCATTATTTTATAACCACTGTGATTTTAGTGCTTAGGGTCACAGATCAGAATGTAGCCATAGTGAGGTACCCAAGGCATCAGCTGGAGTTCTTGCAGGGAGTCAGTCTTAAGATGTTTTTTGCAACTGTGCAAAGTGAGGTATCTTTCAGAACCAGATTCCCACTGGGTCAGAATGTAAAGGAGATGAAGTTTCTCCACAGTAGTAACCTGGGGCTATCCATTCAGGCTTTCTGGGAGGAAAGCTACCGGTCTATGTTTCTCTGGCAAGATGGCAGGTCTAGCCTAATCAGAAGTAGAATTCTTGTGATTGAGGAGAAAAGACCGGGAAAGATGCCCAGCATGTGTGTTTCTTTCTTTGCAGGCGGTGCCATGAGAGCGCTTTATGCCTACAGCCCTCTGGAAGACAGCTGGTGTTTGGTGACACAGTTCAGTCATGAGCGAGCCAGCTGTGGCATTGCACCCTGCAACAACAGGCTGTATATCACTGGTGGGAGGGATGAGAAGAATGAGGTCATTGCCACTGTGCTCTGCTGGGACCCTGAGTCTCAGAAGATGACGGAGGAATGTGTCCTGCCACGGGGAGTGTCCCACCATGGCAGCGTTACCATCAGGAAGTCATATACTCACATCCGGCGGGTTGTGCCTGGAGCTGTGTCTGTGTGACTGGAAAGGGAATCAGGAAGGTACCCTGAAGTCTCTGAGCACTGACTCTGTACCCCAGCTTGCTCAGGTCCTTGTGAATCTCAGGCTTGGCTTGGGTTTAAGTCTCATCATGGGGCACCTAGGAAGCTTCAGCTTTCAGACCATCTGAGAATTCTTGTGTGACCTACCTCAGGATGAAGGGTAATGTTTAACATTCCATACATGCCTACTTACCCTGGTCTGTGCCAGGCATTTATCCATGGTAATTCACTTAACTATGGTAATGACCTGCTGCCAGATAGTATTGTGCCTATCTTAGAGTTGAAGTAAGGAATTTCAGACAGGCCAATCTTCATCCGGTCACTCAGAGAGCGAGTAGCTCAGCCAGAATAAAGCCAGGTCTAGCCATGTCAGTCAGTGTCTTTCTCATCACATTGCTTAACTCAGAGAGGAAAACCGAATGCCAACCCCAAACTTGGCTAGTGTCTTTTTCTGGCAACTTTGTTGAAGCAAAGGGAATAAAAGTGTTTTCCTGTGCTGTCTTCCTCTTATTCCTTGTCCGTATGAGATCACTGACTGGTCTTGGCAGCCTTTGGAGCACTTGTCAACAGCATCTCTGATCATCTCCCATCAGACTCTGTTGGGACTAGTCTGGGAAGGTCCATTTGTTTTGAAAAAGGTGAAAGATGTGTTCTGTTTACCCCCACATTGTAACTGTTGTTTTTGATTATAGGATGAACCATTTTTTTAGATTAGAACTATCACTGCCAGTTAGTGGCTGGGAGTGGCTCAGTAGATAGAACACTTGCTATAGCCAGTTAGTGGTGGCTCAGTGGATAAAGTACTTGCTGTACAATCGTGAGGACCAGTGTAAGAGCTCTGGAGTCCACATGAAAGCTGAGCAGGCATGGTAGCTGCCTGCAATCTCAGTGCTTGGGAAACAGAGACAGGCATTCTCCAGGGAAACCTGGGAAGTTAGGTCAGTTAGAGTTGGTGACTCCAGTTCAAGAGACCCTGTGTCAGTAAATGAAAATGGACCATGATTGCCTGGAAGAGGGCTTAGCAGTGAAAAGTAGAGTATGACTGAGGTAGCCATTTGACATCAACTTTGGGCCTTCACACTTGTGAATATATCCATACCACACACACATTAAAAAATAAAATTGAATTAAAAATTAAAATAAAAACATTTTTGAAGTATTACCTTACCTTCACAATGATTTGGTGCTCTGGCCTCTTGGTTTGCAAGTTCTGTTTTATTTGTGCTCTTTCTCCCTACCTCTTGTGGATATCTCTACACTGTTGTCCAGGCCTTCTAAGAGTGTCCTTCTGTAACAGCTTCTCCTGGATGGGATTCAAGGATTTGAGTCTATGTTCCCAGGACCTGAGTTTCCCAGACCTCAGTTTTCAGGGCCTCTGTAAATCCTGCGTGGGTTTCAGATCAGCTTGGCTCAGTTTCCACTCAAAAAACAGAGTCAGCCCTTCACTGAAAGTAAAGGAATTTCAAATGAACTCAGTGGAAATGTATTTTCATTCCTGAGGTGAAGCAAGGGGCCAGTCACCTGCCTCCAATAGGGCTTGAAGGGAGAGAAAGGCTGGCGTGAGGGCTCCAGTAAGTTACTACCATAGTACCCGTTGAATCACCCAAGTTCATACAACACAGGATTTTCCCAGCATGCTTTTGTGGTTGGATGAAGCTAGGTTAGACCAAAGGCTTTTCTTTGGTGTCACCCTGTGAATGTTAATCTTTGGATTTCCTTTCACTGTTTTTTTTTTTTTTTTTTTTTTTTTTTGCATCACATACATACTAAACTCTGTTTCTTTTCTAAGAGGTTTTCATTACTTTTTTGTTGTTGTGATAAATACTGCAACCTAAATCAACTTCACATTGAGGAAAAGTTTTCTTTTTTTTTAATTTGATTTATTATTTTACATGTCGATCCCAGTTCCCTCTCTCTCCCTCCCTCTCTCCCTCCCTCCCTTTTACCCTCTCTGCCCTCTCACATGCACCCTAACCACCCTCCCCTCCCATCCCCCCACCCCAATTCCATATGTAAGGGAATGCCATCCAGTTGGGGTCATGTAGATCTGACAGGTCATGTGAAGTAAGGACTAGGGCTTCTCTCCTGTCTCTAGGTTAGGACAGTTATCCCTCCGTGGGGGTTGTGTTCGCAAGATCCTTTTGTGCACCAGGGATACATCCTGGCTGAGGTCCCTTAGACTGCTCAGTCCTTCTGGCTGAGACCCATATTCAGGGGGGCCTGAGTCAGTCCCATGCTGGATTCCTAGCAATCAGTCTGGTGGCCTGTTAGCTCCTCCTTGTTCAGTTAAAGTGTTTCTATGTGTTTCTGAAGCCTGGTCTTGTCCTCTCCATCTGCATCTGGGTTCTAGTTCGACTAAGTGTTTATATATGTGTGTTTGCTTCTGTTTCCAACAGGTACTAGATGAGGGCTTCATGGATAAGTTAGTTGTTGATCTCGCTATCCGGGAAGGGCATTTATGGTAGCCTTTTCACGGAAGTTCAAATTGTTAGTTGGCGGCAGTATTGTAGGTCTCTAGACCTTTCTTTGTGTTCAATTTTATCTTCAAACCAATATTGGCTCCCTCTTTTATGTTCTCTCTCTCTCTCTCTCTCTCTCTCTCTCTCTCTCTCTCTCTCTCCCCTCTCGTCTTCTATTCCTCCCTGACTCAATCTTCCTAGTCACACGTACCTTCCTCTCCTCCCCTTCTCGTTCTCCTACTTCTCTCTCCATTCACTGCCCCCCCACTTCCCCTGTGCTCTGGGGGACTTGTCCCTTCCAGCTTATGTGAGGGACTTTATATGAATCTCTTAGAATGCACCTTGTATCCTAGTGAGGACAAGTTTTCAACGGTGAGGAGGCACGGCTGTAGGTAACCAGAGCCAGAGGCTGAGAGTTATATCTTTAACCACAAGCACATATAAGGGAGTACACTGAAAGTGGGTGAGCTCACAAAGCCTACCCACTGATATGCTTTCTCCAGCTAAACTGTACCACGTCTCCATAGAGCACCATGAGTTTGGGTAGGGAAGCATTTCTCATCTCAACGACTACATAAGGCACAACCCAAACCAAAATAAAATAAAAACACCAAACAACACCAACAAAACTCCATAAAACCATCACCAAATTAATATTGTAATCCATGTTACCAATATGGTAAGAGCTGGGGACTACCTCAGAGCCAGTAGCCCAGGACCCAAGCAGGGACATTTGAATATAGCAGGCTACATGTTGAGGCAAAATCCCTGGAGTGACAAGCATCCTTGGCAGGGAGGAGGTGGAGGTCAGCAGCTGAGGATGAGGGTGTGGAAAACACAGGCATTCTGGAACTGGTGAGCGTGCTTGCAAGAGGAAAGATTTCCAAGCAAGGAAGCCGGAAGGGGCCCAATGTTGAGAACTGAAGCATGAGTCTGAGCAAGACCAGCAAGCAGGCAATTGTGGGGCTTTTGAGCTACCTGGTTGTCTTTTCCAACCTAATGGACCCAGAGCATGAGGTCCAATTCGTTGGTGGAATATAGTATAGATGAAGTTAAGGGGCAGTAGAGACCAAGGTTGGTCTGAAACAGGCCTGAGCTAAATTCACCAAAACCCCACCATGTTCTCTTCTTAGTATCTATTTATTCTGGTCTCAGTGACTTTGGGAAATGAGCACACATAATCTGCACTCAAAGCAAACTCTATCAGGGGAATAAAACCTCTGGGCAAGCACAGCTTTGGTATTTCTACCTGTCCTGATGAGGAAGGAAAAGAGTAAAGGAGGAAATTCCACAAGCATGGAAGCCCTTAGTTCACCCCTTCATTCAGTTTAGAAAGCACTCACATCACATGAACTTACAGTACTATGTTGATCACTCTTAAAAAGTCATTGGGGGCTTCCGCGAAGTGGGCTCGTGGACCAGTGAGACCAGAAGAAGATTTTAGCACCCGGGAGGTCGCGGACCGCTGTTCTGTGGCTGTCATCATGCCACAAAATGAATATATTGAATTACACCGTAAACGCTATGGGTATCGTTTGGATTACCATGAGAAAAAGAGAAAGAAAGAAAGAAAGTCGGGAGGCCCATGAACGTTCAAAGAAGGCCAAAAAAATGATTGGCCTGAAGGCTAAGCTCTACCATAAACAGCGCCATGCTGAGAAAATACAAATGAAAAAGACTATTAAGATGCATGAAAAGAGAACCACCAAACAAAAGGATGATGAGAAGACCCCACAAGGAGCAGTACCCGCCTATCTGCTGGACAGAGAGGGACAGTCTAGAGCAAAAGTACTTTCCAACATGATTAAGCAGAAACGAAAAGAGAAGGCGGAAAATGGGAAGTCCCTCTACTCAAAGTCCGTGCCTAAGGAGAAACAGAAGTATTGAAAGTTATTCGAACAGGAAAAAGAAAAAAGAAAGCATGGAAGAGGATGGTTACTAAAGTCTGCTTTGTTGGTGATGGCTTTACAAGAAAACCGCCTAAATATGAAAGGTTCATTGGGCCAATGGGCCTGCGCTTCAAAAAAGCCCACGTCACACATCCTGAGCTGAAAGCTACTTTTTGCCTGCCAATACTTGGTGTGAAAAAGAACCCATCATCCCCATTGTATACAACTCTGGGTGTAATCACCAAAGGCACAGTTATTGAAGTGAATGTGAGTGAATTGGGCCTGGTGACACAAGGAGGCTAGGTTATCTGGGGAAAGTATGCCCACGTTACTAACAATCCTGAATAGTTACTTCCTGGACAGTGACTTCCACTGAAGACTACACATCCTTTGGAAAACATCACTGTGATCTTTCTGAATACTACCAAGGTGCCTTACCCATAAATTGTAAAGAAAAATAAAAATAAAAACTGTTCACTTTTACAGTTAGTCTTTAGTCTGGGGCCTAAGGACTTATATATTGATGTGACTGAGTAGCAAGCATACAAATAGATGTCTGTGAACTAGGAAGTGTATGCAGCAATGGAAAAGCCACCAGTATAGTTTTAAGTACCCATAAGGTTACTGACCACTTATTTATTGGGTGGGCTAGAAAATTTAGATCTGTTCAAATACTTTTCCATCTCATTGCCATTAATCCTAAACAATGGAGCATGGAGCATTTTAAGCACAGGTTTAAATTTATAAAATATTTCATTAAAAGAATTATACTGAAAATTCAAAAAAAAAAAAAAAAGTCATTGGGGACCTTAGCGGTCCTTCTCTCCCTTTTACCCCAGGATACCCAAAATTCTATGTCTCAACATGAAAGAAACTTCCTAATTTCACAGAACAAAGAAATTCATAAATCAAGGAAATTTAAAATGAATCAGTAGGTACATCATCAGAGAGGTGGTTAAAACAAGCTAGGAGGTTTTTCTATAGGCCTCAGGTCCTCTGATGATGTTCTTAGGTTTGGGGTTGGGGGAAACTAATGGTTTTATAAGTTAATAGATTCCAAAAGGTGTATCATCTATTAGTCACAGAACTTTAGTTATGGCACAGAGGTGGACAAAGGATGGATGTTCCAGGGTCTGAAGCCAGCCCAAGATAAGGTAATCAGCCCTGGACCTGCATCATTCCAACCCCTCTACACCACTGCAATCTTAGTCAATTGGTCTTTGTAGACACAGTTTCTTTCCAGGAATTCTTGTTCATATTGATGAATACATGGTCAAGATGGCAGCAGCACCTGAAGCACTAATGTCCTAAAGGCTCAAGTCAGCTGGGAATAATCTGGACAGAAAAGTTGACACAGTCATAATATCTGCAGGCAGTTAGGATCCTGGACCCTCCCCATAAGAGGGCCAGCAAACCAATCTCTGCTCATATCGACAACGCTGAGACTGCAAGAGCAGATGTACAGATGGAATCATCTCCCCCAAAGCCCCACTTTGCCCTGTGAAACCTCATGCCCCTGCACAGTCTCCACACCTGCAGGGAAACCACTGATCCTCGTGCACTAATAAGGGACAATCTACATCTGACAGGGTTGTTCTCTTCTTCCTTTGCTTTCTTGTTGCTTTGAACAATCCCAAACTAACACTTGGTTCCAAGACATGGGAGGTGTTTTGGGGTCCTACACCGAAGCCCTTCCTTCTTGTCAACTCTTTCTCTTTTTCTTTCCTCTTCTGACACCCATCCATAGTCAACGGTGTGGCTGGTCACTAGCTTACTGAACAGCCTACAGTTCCTATGT